ATAAACGAACTAAGCAACTAAGGTCTGAAAACAAATATTACAATAATAAATCTCTGTATTACTTCTGACGATGTTTCAATCTTCTTTCTGAACAGCGACCGATGAGACGATGACTGTCGTATTGATGCTTCCGCGAAAATTGGGGAAGTTGATTTTGAGCAAACAACCAAGAATTGATCGTTCAAACTTCAACTCCATTGACAATTGTTTATATGCTGGTGTTACAATAAACAATCCCTAATTCGCCAATGGGTGTTTTGGTTTTGCGTCCGTTATTGCTAAGCGTTTCTGAAGTCTTCAAGGAACAGCGTGGGCCCGAGCGTAGCGAGAGCTGGGCATTAACTGCTTATGAGGCGTGTTTGACAAGGGGTAATTACTAGTTCTTTCCTATTTAATCTACAGGTGATTTCGTTGAAAAATTTTGAATGGAAATTGGCGCATTATCTTTTCTTGAGTGATCTGTGTTTCTACTGGTTGATGAGTTTGCGTTTTAGAAAAAAGTCCGACATTTGGCCTTTAATTACCTCCTCAATGATCCTTGATATGACGGGTGTTATACTGGTAGGCCCGTAGTTGCATGGACCTGTTTTGGTTCCTGATTCATATTTACGGAATATATGCATGTTTTTCCAAATTTTAGGGCAAGTCACAGACACTATTGAGAGGGTGAATATTCTAAGTCATAATACCATCATATCCGCCCTATCGTTTTTGTATATGATAGATGGCATACCATCCACCCCACAACTACCGTTATCCTTTAAATATAATAATACATATTTCGTATAAAGGGGCGGGCTGACATGAAATGCATACCGCTTTTACCGCCACGATCAGTTATGTTATAAATTACAGTCGTAAAGTATCATAAATTAATACTTTTCAAAAGTTTAAATTGTTGAATCATAGTACAGTCGATCAAAACAGGTTTTTATAAATGTTCAATCGCAAACCCTTCACTAAGGCCACCATCAAAGTTGAGCGACGACCCAAACTTCGTTCCGTTTCCTGGTGATAGTTATGGCCGACCAGTGAATAGTGTATATTTGGGTGAGCGCTGTGTACCTACGTGATTGAACACTGATTCAGGAAGAGAAAACGTCCAGGGAAGCTGCTAAATGGTATAAAATGCGGTTGTGAATAATGAATTACTGGAGGTGAATTAAAAAGATAAATTCACGAAGGAGCGATGTAACAACAGAAGACAAGAGCCAGGCAACAGATCCTTTATTAGGGAAATCAACGCGTATCTATATATATTTCATGTACATTATTATAGCTTATTCAAGCGGACAAAGACAGTCGTTTGATTGGCTGTTTCTTGCTCAAGGCTATTCTGTACTGCTTGTGCCTGGTTTCTCAGAAAGTTAAGCCAAATATCTGCGAAACGTATTTGCCCACGTTGAGTCTGCTGTGATTGGTTGTTGAATCAGTCTTGTTTATATCTTCTCACTGCCAATATTAGCGACATAGACGTTGAGATAAATTAATGTCTCCCAGTTGCCTAGCAGCCTGCTCTAACCACAGCTGTTGAGTACCTGAAATCATAATACACACTTCCAATGTTTAGCGCTAACCATAATGGTTATACCATGGGAAACTATAACATATCCGATGAAATATAGGTATTCTCAAACATGGGCGTTGTTGTTGTGCGTTTTTCATCACAGCGACCAGAATTGACGCGAGTGGAGGATGTGAATGAAAGGAGTAAATTTTAGCTTTATTAAAGGCCTGAGGAGTTGAGAGAAAACAGAGTATAGTAGTAATTAAATGAAAGGGTTGTCGTCGATTATATAAGTGGCATTTCAGAGAGAATTGGTTTGAAAGGTCAGAACTTGTAGGATATGCTGACCTGGCAAGTTTGTGTAGGGCCCATGGGGTAACATCTTGGCAATAAGCTGAGCAGGCTTGTAGGCATCAGGAGCAAAGGGATTTGTTTATAATTTAGATCTGTGTAGTCATCATTGTTTTTTAAGTTAATTTTTTTATATTGTGGATCTAAACTAATGTTTAATTCTTGGTCTGTCAAAAAATACATGTTGCTGTCCTACAGATAGGAGTGATTCACATTTGTGACCACTGCCATTTTTGCTGGTCATCGCGCGCCACCCTACCTCTTTTTTGACATTAAGCTTTGAGATCTTTTGTAATGACTGTAGTTGTAATATTGCACTGTTTGACTCCGTCCCAGTCACACAGTACTCTGCACATTAATAACTCTCATGACAAGTGCTTCGCATTATTTCACTGTAAACATCAGTACCTGAGGACATTCTTGGTAGTATTATCATCGTACACGCATATATGTGGAATTGGGTTACCACAAAATTAACACCGCTCCAAGTCTAGAAGGAAAAATATAACCCTCACAACTGTTCAAGGATGTATTTATTAGTGGCCGTATGAAGAGTTTACAGAGACATACAATCACACTACAAGGAACAGACATGTTCTTGTTCCTGGCAAACCTACTCGCCTGCAATCCAACCCATTCGGCACAGATAAGCAAATTGACTGCTAGAAGCGTATTGACTGCGATTCAATCGAATGGGCGAAAGTCTGTGATCTCCCACATTATTCTTCCACCAGAATCAACCCGGCCTGACTTGATTCAATGAAGGAAGTTACTCCGCGTAGGGCTATCTTTTGGTTTCCGTGCTTTGCTTGTTCCGATGTCTGAGGTGCAGATGCCACACAATCAGCCCTATTTCATTGATAGAGTCTGGAGTAAAATGCAAGCTGCACTGAGTATTATTGCATTCTAAAGCACTCTTATAAGTCAGCTTATTTTCCTCCAAGAACTAACAGACAGGTTGTGAGGAGGGGTTAGCTTTGTGAAGTGTATTAATCTCATCTAGACTGTGAAATTTCCAGCCAAACTACTGCGGAACCAGAAATGACCTTAATGGCTTGATTTGCTAATCTAGAAAGCCATGTGTTTCATAGCTAGTCACTAACTCAAAATACTGTTCCATGTGTCCTGATGATGTCAGTCGAATTATGAAAATCGATGCCATCCTTACTCTACTACTTAAAGAAGGTTTAGTGACCATCGTGGTTGGTAACTAGACCACGTTACTCCAGCAAAATATTATTTGACAATGCATAGTACTTATGCCAGAATTTTCTGAGTTTTATTTTGAAGTGGAACTTGTACACGTCAGGTGGTAAATAATCCTAAAAGTGCTTCTAAGGATCAATTTAGATAGGTCAAGGGGTCTCAGTGAACCCTGTTGACGGACACTGCCTTAACCAAACTGTAGTCAGCGCTATTCAATGTCACTGAGGAAAATTTGGAGGGATGTTAGTGAGAGTTAGGAACTACTTTATAGTTTGAACAACCAGTAAAGTCACTAAACAGCTCGTGAAAAATTTTAGTAATGCCGTTTGATGGAGGTAGCAAACTTCTAGTGGAGGAACGATTCAGCTTTAGAGGAGCTAACTATCTCTTCCCTAACCTTTTTGTAACAGGCCAACGCAAATGACGTCAGTTGAAAACATTGGTCCCTGAAAGTTTAAAGGAGCAGAAACGCATACATTTTAGCACTAAGCGGCCTTACTCTGTCGGCGGCCACTAAGTATAAGGGTTTAAGATTGTAAACCGCGATCTGAAAATCTCATATAACAGAAGTGTAGCTGGTTCGTGACATTAAAGGTACTGCATAATTCTTTTGGTAAGGTTTACGCTGATATGTATATAGAATATTGCATCCAACATACACCAGACTATGCTTGGAATAGAGGATCCAAGCTTCCATGTTTAGAGTATGAGGTAGACGCATTAAACAGGCTCCAAAAATTCACCGGGGTGTTTGAAATCTTCCAGTTAAGAATAGGTTCATAGACTAGATTTATTTTCACTGTTATATCAATGATAAAATGGAAGATTCATGTTGCCATTCCGGATCTAATATGACGCATCAAGTGGGAATTTATCATGCTAATATTTCCTCTAAGTACTAAGCGCATTCGAGCAAATTACCCTCTGGTTGAAGAACTGTAGTCGAATCATCTACGTTCGAAAGCACTCTTCTGGCGTAGGATTGAGAAGCAGTGGGACTGTCCACCAACTTCTGTCCAATCATTTGTTGCATACTGCGAACCGAAACGATCAATATGGGACTAAATCCTACTAACCATTATCATGTTTCTCACAGTCATCGAATAGAAATGTCGATATTATGAAGATTGAATCCATGTACTCTTAGTTATCCCAAGTGACCGCAACTTAGTAACAACCTGCAAAATAATATACAATCCTAGACTGTTGAACAGAAGGAGAGCATTGTTCATACCGGAGCAAATAAAGAACGAGAATTCTTCAGAACTGGTTGAAAATTGAAGAATGGAAAAACACAAATCACTGTCCAGATTAAGTGCGTCGGTGGCACAGTTGTTACGACTCTCGCAGACCATGCACATGGTCCGAGGTTCGATCCCCTGATGACGCACACCTGATATCTATGGTCGGCCTGCAAAATTTGGGCTACTGATATCACACGCTGAAAACTGCGCACCTGTACCAAAAATACGGCGTGGAATCAAGCTGAAATCAAAAAACAACTGAAGGAAGTCAACCACCTGAATTCAGAGATATAAGTGAAGTCTGACTTCTTTTCCTCCTGAGTCCGTTACTTACCGAATTACCTGCTGGACGATGTAGCCGTAACTTTCCCAGTAACTTATTTTACTGAGTTTTGTCTGTCTGAATGATTATGGAGAAAAGACGTCCCTGGTTCCAAGCGTCACTTAACGGGTACAAACCATTCCCTTCAAAATTAATAAAAAGCCATCCTTACACTGCGCAGTATTCCACTCAAAACCGAGAATCGCTCCAGAACGCTCTGAAGTAGGCATCAAGAAACAGTAATTTTTCAAGCGCGTACAAACGATATTGGATATTGGTGCTGAAGGTCGAGGGAATTTGAATATTCTAGGTTGGCCCGCTACCTTTTGGGAAAAAGACAGTACATCCAGTTAAAAGGTGCCACCTGAATATGTCGTCAGACTCCCACTTCTCGTTAGTTTTATTTGGATTATCTAACGTTGCACTTTAGATTAGTTCCAAAAGTAGTAAATGGTGGAATTGCAGGGATCGTTGGTGTAACGTGTGTTTTCCCAATAGATCTTGTCAAAACAAGAATGCAAAATCAGCGGGAAGGAAGCAAATTATACAAAAACGTGTGAGTTTTAAAAAAGTAATGGTATTCTTGGGTCATGTATTTATGTGTGCATATGCATATGGGTGAAGGTTCTACAACAGGGAAATACTTATAATAATATCTTGTGTTCCTACTGTCGTTTATCTTGAATCTTCTGGAGAATTTTCGTGTGGATATTCACTGCATTCATAAAGTTCATGTGGGAGTTTCGAAATTTCTTTGCTAATAACAGAAATTTCAATGAAATTTTAGGTGCCCTGTAACAATTCAAACAGCCAGGTAGACATGGAACCCCTAACATAAAGACATAGATTAGAGTTGCTAAATTGGAGCACTACACAAGTCAAGGAAACGTCAACGGAATGTCTAGTCGTACTATAGCTGATAGAAGTCATAGGTGCCAGGATGGTTGGTGTGGGGAGAACCTTGTGCGCTTATGAAAATGTGTTGGTGGTTATTACCTCCACATCATGGAACTAGAATGTTTAGTAAAGAAGGTCAGTAGTTCATACGTGGCATTTCTTAGATATGCAACAACTTTAATGGTTGACTTCTCAGTGACTAGTCTGGTACAGTCCACTTTTGCATAAGAAGAACTGTCTGATAAAGATATTCGTCAGACTGTATATTGCCCGATTTAAGTAGGCTTGGAACCTTTTATACCCAATCAAAAGTATAAAAAATGCAAATAGTATATTCATAACATATGCAGTCTGACAAATACCGTTATCACACAACTCTGAAGCGAAAGTGGGTTGTATCGCGCTAGTTAGTGAAGAGTTAACTATTGAGGTTGTCGTATAGTTTTCCGAGTATCTGCGCGCGTGATAGTGTGGCGTGGTCCTTAGGTCATGACTTACTATGACGCATAGGTGCGTCCCTGTGAATTGAATTAATTTATTGGGATTTTGGGAGATTCAGTTGTCTTGGTGGTCTATTTTGTTACAAACCGATATAAAAGAAAAAGATGTCCGTAGTACTCTTCTTATTCTTCCTTGTGCTTCAGCCTTCTATTGCTACCAAAAATAGGAAAAAAACGCACTACAGTGGCATTTCGTATGCATTTTGGATAACCGTTGCTGTTTACTGAATTCCCTCTATTTCTGGTGTTATGCCGTTTTACTTGTTACTATTCAAAATCATTGTATTTATTTCGAAAAACTAAATTAAGAGGCAAAATTTATATAACGCATTTTTATGCACCAAGGAAAAAGTGAAGATTTTCTGTATTCAAGGAGCTGTATTAAAAAAATGACATGGTGTTTTAATATTATTGGTGTCCTTCGTGTCTTTCGTTGTATTAAACTGTGTTATTTTTCTCAATAGTTTGGACTGTGCTGCGAAGACATACCGCGCTGAGGGTTTCTTTGGCATGTATAGAGGTGAGTGACTAATTTTTCTTTTAACAACTGGTGTGTTCAACTATGGTCATTAAACTTAACTGCTTACACTAGTGGGACATGTCTTTCTTAAAATGCCCAAATATACGAAGCATATAACTTACTTAATTGTTGTTTATATCCATTTTTTCAAGTGTTGGTTTTGTAGGGATTTGGTGTCAGCTCATGATTAAATCCTCCATATATCCATTTTGTCATTAGATTCGAGTTACTTAGTTTTTCTTTCGGTCTGATTTACTCCCTCCTTAGTACATTAGGTTTGCTACTCTATATAGGTTCACTTGTGTGTAAGCCTACGCATGTGATTATATTGCTAAACCAGAAGCAAACCAAGTAGCAACATTACTTGCTGATTTGGTTGCGGATATACTTTCTATTGGGTAAAGTTAAGTAATGACATGTTATTCGGATAGTTTGCAAGATCATTGGAGCCGGCAACTTGATACTATGGAAGATATAAATGACTTAAGAGCAGTCTGAGATGGTTTCATATCCATTCATTATTACTCATATTTCTAACGCCTGAAGAATATTTATTCAGGTAATCCTACTTCATGTCTACCTGAGTTTTATTTGTTTAAATATAACTCCGTATTCGTTGACTTTCTCTCTGTTTCGTAATACTTTGAAGACTGTTCCACTTTTCCCACGATTTGTTTGAATACAGTTTTGTAATGTGTTCATGGAAAAGGATTAATATAGAAAGGTACCGTGAGTTAGTTATTTTGGATTTGAAAAATAGGCTAAGTAATTCAGTCAAAATGAAGTAGGTTTAGTAGTTTAGTTACACCTTCATAGGGTAACGACGTTAGTATCCACTTTCTTAATGTGACTCGAAATTAGCATGCCACTGAAATATTCATATGCGATAATTATGAGTTATACTACACCTGTATTTGAGTAAAGTAAATAGAGTGCAGTAGGACAACAGTAGGACACAGATTTACTTTTTAAGATGTAAGTCAAAACTTATTTGGGAGTACTCATCACACTATTCTGCTATTTTGGTTGTAGGTCGAAATGAAGCTAGTATATTGATCCTTAATTTGAAGCAACGACCACCACTTCACTCTGTAATATTGGGAATTTAAGATTCACCCATGAAACTGAATATCATTGGAAAAAATGACAATTTATAGTCATTATTGCAAATCCACTAGTCGTGTAATAAGTTTCTCATTTTTCGTGACATATGTGTTATCTTGACTACAATTTTTTGTGCACATATGAGAACTAATTTCGTTGAGGTATAGGTATAACGTAATAAATTATTCAGCGGTTGTGTTCTGATAGACTGGTCGTTACTCTGCACTGTTATGCTCGAAGATATAACTCTCTTCCCCGTTATGGACCTATAAGTCACACTTATTGTGTGAGGTCTGAAGTAGATAAAATGAGACTTGAACCTGGGACCCATTGTTTGGAATTCTCAAACCACTTAACCATATCTCTTAATCTGTCCTAACATACATCACTTTGGCATACCAAGATGTGCGTCGGTTTTTCACCGATAGAACACTAGCCAACCACTCGCAAGGCTCAGGGTTCGATTCTCGGCTGTTGCACTCCTCAATCTTGCTTAGCAGATAGTTAGCCGGGTAAAGAGGGAAGTTTGAGCGTAGGTCTAGCAATCCCCGCTATGTAATGAAACACTACTGCTACTGAAACTTCAACGCGCAAGATTAAATCCCTGTAGTCATTTCGGATGGCAAAGGAATGAGAAAAAGACGTTTTGTAGATATGCATGATAGAGTGCAGAATGCTATTATTGAGCAACAAATGATATAAGAAGACATTGACTAAGGTGCATGACTTGTTAGCATTTCTCATATTCCATCTTGGAAGTTAGTATCTTTGTAGTATGCCCCATCCGAAAGGAAGTATTGGTTTTGTGTGATAGAAGCGCCCGGAGGTAATTTACTTGAGGCTATTCGAAGATGTGTGTGTTTGTTGTAAACTTCTATCTACACAAAGAAAGCTTTGATATAATGAGTAATGGACGGCAAAATGGAATACAAACAGTGTTGAAGTAGGACATTGTTTAACTGTTTCTCTTTTAATTATCGCGGCTAGAACAGTCACATGCCTTTTTTAAACCGAAGGTAGGACCTTACATGCAGACTTCCACAATGATGTAACACAACTTGTCTTTCAATAGTACCATAGTCCATCCAACCTACATTGAGTTATTTCAGTTGATAAAGCTCATTGGTTTGTCTCATTACGCAAGTCGGCTGACATAAAAGTAACAATCTAGTTTTAAAACCTAGCTAACTTTTAGGAAAACATACAGAGAATTTATTGTCGCTCATGTGATCGTTTATAACTTCTTTCCAGGCAGTGGTGTTAATCTGCTGTTAATCACTCCAGAAAAGGCAATAAAACTAGTTGGCAATGATTTCCTCCGTTATCACTTGAAACCTGAAGGGTGAGTTTAAGTAATATATTATTTATAGCCTTCGGTGATTGTTAAGTTTTTAGTCATAAGTTTCAGTTTCAATCCAAAAATTGTTAGTGCTCTATTTCTTACGCTGTTGATTATTTAATTGTTCTACATGTCAAATATGTTGGAAAGAAGCATCTGGTCAAATACATAAATATTACTATTATTGTTTTCTTTAGTTCCTAGAGGAACATAGGGCTTCAGCCTCATGTCTCCATTTTGTTTGGTTCTCCACCAACGTTTTCACCTGGCTCCACATCTACCTACATGCTTTCATCTCCTCTTCGCATGACCTCCTCCATGTCACCCTCGCACTGACGTCCAACTCACCGCTTCCCGTTCGAATTCCACTCGAGTAATGGCCTGGTGTGTAATATCACTTGATGGTTTGTTTTCTCAGAGTATGGTCAATCCACCTCCATTTCATATTTGTTGCACAATCGGTTCCTGATGGGTTGGTTCGCTCATTGTCAGAGATCCCTATTGCTGATCTTTTCTGACCGGCCATCTGATCTTGGGTACTGGGTGAAGAGAGCTGTTGATGAAGGTTTGTAATTTGTTCTAAGTGGCCTTCGTGACGCGGAGCAGCGCCAAGTCTCTTATCCGTATAGTAACACTGACTTCACATTGGAATTGAAGATCTGGATTTTTTTTCACACTGTGCTGTTTATCTCCACATGGACTCAAGAGTAATGAAAGTTTGCCTTATTTTTCCCATCGCCTAGGTGCGGTCCTAAGACAGGGTCAGGGAATCGTTGAGTATGCCAGTCGGGTTTTGACGCATACCGAGCGAAAGTATTCAACGATAGAGAAAGAATGTTTAGCAATGGTCACAATGGATGTTGCGTCTTCAGGAGTACGATTTTACTATCTCACACGTTCCTGGAAGTGAAAATGTCTTGGCAGATTTGTTATAGAGACCAGAAGACGAGTCTGAGTTGGCCGAGGTCGCTTACGGAGTGCATGCAGTAGAACAAGACCCACTAAGACTTGCACGCAGGCAGAGGTTGGACGATACGCTGAATACAGTGATACAGGTGATCACCAACGGAATAGAAGTGGATCAAGCTACAGCGAGTAAGGAGCTAACCACACTACTCAGACAGAGGGATCGACTAAGAGTGAATGCCTACGGGACTCTGACCTGGCGAGATAACGACGGAATCTGGCTGGCTGTCATGGTAGGCAGAGGAAGTTACTTCTTTCAGATTTCTCCCATTTATGCTGATTTTTGTCTGTTGTTGTTGCTGTTGCTGTTGTCCAAGAAGCTTCATCACCTCTGTCTTCTCTATGTTCACCTGAATTAATCTTTCTTTGTTGCTTCTTCTGCCAACTTGTTGCTTTTCACTTGCATATCTTCGATTTGTGGGAAATCAGACAAATATCATCAGTGAAGTCCATATCCTCCAAGTTTTTTGTGTGGGTTCATTTTATCCCTGTCTCCTCGTTGCTCACTGTCTGTCTGTCGTATTACCCAGTCTACTGCACTCAGGAAAATGATTGGAGATAGTAGACAGCCTTGTCTTACTCCTGTCTTCACCTCGATGGATTCCGTGAGTTTCCCATTGTGGGTAACTTTACATGTAGCATTGTCTTGCAACTGTTGAATGAGGTGTGTAATTGTTGGTGTCATCCCGTAGTAGCTAATTAGTTTCCAAACCGCCTCTCTGTCGACGCTGTCAAAGGCCTTTTCAAAGTCCATGAAGTTGAGGTAGAGAGCTGACTCCCATTCAAGCTCTGTTAAATAATGATACGTAGTGTTGCGATTTAATCGATACATGACTTATTTCTCCTGAATCCAGGCTGTTTTGATCTAAGTTTTTCATCCACAGTGTTTTTGATTCTTTCCAGGATGATACAGCTTATTATTTTTCTTGGAATAGGTAGCCTTTCTTCCGATCTGCAAGTATTTTGTCTTCTTTCCACACCTTCTTCAGTGGTGGTGTCATTAAGTCTGCTGATGTCTCTGACTCCATTTTCATTGCCTCTGCAGGGATTTCGTCTAATCCTGCTACTTTTCCAGTTTTTAGCACTTATATGTCCTTCAGGATTTCCACTTTTGTCTGAGAATCGGTAAAATACATAACTACGTCTTATGAATAGCTACAAAGTCAACTTCTAAAAACCAAAAAGGAATTCTCAAATTCGTTTAGTTGATGCAGCTGTACTTATGTACCAATCAGAATAGAAGCTATAAATGATGCTTGATATTCGACAACTAGTTCGTGAATTTGAATTTTTATTTATCTGTTTTTTGAATTCAGTTTCCTGGGACAAATTTTCCATGCGTCAGGTCACGAACCACACATGGGAGAGCTGATAACACTAGCCAGTTACTCAGACTGAAGTAGATGGAGCGAGACTCGAACTCAGGACGCATTGACTGTTGTATGCTGAGTATTTAAGCCAACACACGATATCTTCACCAAGCAAAACACATTAGTATCTGTAAGTTGAAATTAGAACTGAGCATTTAAAGATAGTCTCCATTCAACTTGTGTAAATGAGATCATTTGAGTGAATTTCAGATAGTTGTCAGATTTTCTTTAAGGTAGTCAGCTCCTAATCCATCTACTTATTGTGGAGATTATGGTTCATTAACTTGAGCACTCGACTTTTAGTCACTGAGTCATGGGTTTGAGCACCGCTTCACCTATTTCAGCCTTAAATAACTGGATGGTGTCATTAGCCCTTGCACACAATGAGTGAGCCTCATAGCCTAATATTAGGTAATTGAGTAATAGCTAACTAACAATTTTTACATTGCTTTTATGAATCTTTTGTTAGGAAACCTCTAACACCTTTTCGTGAAATGCTTGCTGGAGGAGGTGCAGGAGCTTGTCAAATCATTGTAACTACTCCTATGGAGTTATTAAAAATACAATTACAAGATGCTGGTCGGACAACAGGTCAGTATTAAATGTGTTTCTTTTTGTGAAAAAGTATGAACTTTGAACTTTCTAGATATGATAGTTTTCACTAACTTACAGTCTCTAGCTTTGTCACTCGTGGTATCCAGACGTATATATTAGATGAACTTAAATCAAAAGGGTGTTTTTCCGTCCTAATCTGGGGATGAACCAATCCATAACGTATCGCTTAACAAATATGCGGAAAAAATGGAGATGGGTCGGACATACACTGATGAGGAGACCGTTGAGTAACATCGTCCGCCATGCAAGCCGTCAATTGGAACCCGAATGGGAAGTGGTGAGTTGGGCGTCTGAAGGTGAGATGGAGGAGATGAGAGCTGATGGCGATCATGGAACCAACAGGATAAAATGGAGATGCATTGTTAGAGCTCTATATTCCACTAGGAATCCAAGGGAGTAATAATAATAACAGTCATATGAAAGCGTGCGTCCGAATAGCAGTAAATGTATTCGTTGTTGTCTTCGTGATTTCCCTTGCATACGGTACCGATAACATGTATAGGTAGTTATACTTGTATTTCGACAAGCGATTTCATCGGAACACCAAATTCGTTGTGTTAGAAATTTTTACAAATGCTATCTTAGTTTACCTTATAATACAAGTCACTATTCCATTAGCCTTGGAACTGGTGTTTAGAAGCGGCAGTGTGATTTGTTGACGACATATGACTGTGTTGGGATGGACAGTAGTTATACTTGAAATTTCCTGGTGTACCCTGATGCTGTTGATATAATGATTTCTCTGTGTAACCTGTTTATTCTCATTACTGTATACAAATTTTTAAAAAGAACGCGTAAACGTTTGTGAATCTGGAAAATGTAATAAAACAAATAGTAGCAATGTGTTGGACTGTTCCTGGAATTTCTTGTGACCTACTTTTTATAATGTTCTTTTTTCGCTTGGTTGGAGGACTTCATCGTGAGCTGACATCACTTAGTTTTAGGGTTAACGGACTGGTTGTTGAATCATTTGCACACTACATCTTGGGGTATACGCTAGTCATGCTGTCTGTCCTTACTATCTGTTTTCCCTTTTGTTCCACACTATTACATACTCATGTCCCTGTGGCTTAATGGTGTACAAGCTCACTTTTTAACCAGGAGGTCCTGGGTTCGAACCTCGGTGAGTGCGTAGTGCTGAAGAGTCCCAAACTGGGACGAAACAGCTGTCCAGTACTCCCAGGTTTTCCAATGGTTCTCTAACCAATGTCAACTCATGATGAAATCCTGTAACTATTACATACTCTATTTTAGTATAGCATGTATAAATCTATTAGCTAATTTCTTTCTTAGTATTAGCCATCTCTGCTTTGGGCATCTCTCTCAACCTCTGTCGCACTAACTAGAATCTGATAATTGAATATGTGTAACACACAAATTATTCTGTCTCATGTTATATGATTTCAGAATAGGTGCATGAAATTCAGCTGGATGAATTACATTATTATTATTCCCTTGGGTTCGGAGTGGAACATACGGCTTCAACAGCACTTCCACCGTGTCCTGTTTTCTGTCGTCCTCTTCAACTGGCTAGTTCCACCATTGCCCATAATCTGTCGTCTCCTCTAACTGTCACAATTTCTTCCATGTCACTGTCGGACGACCCACTCATCGTTTTCCATTTGAATTCCACTCGAACGACGGCGTAGTTGGCGCGCGATGTCATTCGACTGTGTTTTCAGCCTGTGCCGAATCCATTTCCATTTTCCTCTGCATATTTGTTAAGCAGTGGGCTCTTAGTTGGATTGTTCCCACAGTTCCTTGTTGCTGATTATTTCTGGCCATTTGCTATTGAGTATGGATCGAAGATATCTGTTGATGAAAGTCTGCAACAGGTTGTTGGAAATCCTTTTCGTGACACGCCAAGTTCCTGACCCGCGTAGAAGAACCGATTTGATATTGGCGTTGAAAATCCGAATCTTGTTCTTCACTCTGACTGAGCGCAGAAGATTTCCAAACTGGTTTCAGGTTGATAAAGGCGTATCTTGCCTTCCCGATTCTGACTTTGACATCTTCATCCGTCCAGCCTGTAGTTGAAACGATGCCTCCTAGCCAGATTAGTGAAGGGAGGATGTAACCTCTTTCAAATTTCTCCCGTTGATGGTGACTGGTGCTAGTTATTGTTGTTGCTGTTGGTTGGTTATTTTTATAACTTCCGTCTTCTTTATGTTCACCTGGAGTCCTCGCTACCTGCTTCTTCTGCCAGTTTATTACTTTTCGCCTGCAAATCTTCTAGTCTGGGTGACATTGAACATAAATCACCCACACTCAAAATGCAGATCTTCTACAGTCTTCCATCGGTCCAACGTATTCCCATCTTCTTGCTCCCATTGCACAGTCCTCCGCATAATCTAGTTCTCCACATTCAGGAATATTATTGATGATAATAGTCAGGCAGTCCTGTCTTACTCCTGTATTCACTTCTAACGCCTCGCTGAGTTTCCCGTTGTGGATCACCTGACACATGGCATTGTCATATAGCCAACCGTTGAATGAGGTTGATAAACATTCGGGCACTGTACGCCGTAGTGTTAAAGTAGTTTCTAAATTACTTCATTGGATGAATTACATCGTTTAAACTTCTGATCCGTGTTATGCGGTATAAGATGATGGTGATAGAGTTTTGACTCCACTGGTCTAGACGCTCGACTTTCAACCATTGGGTGATAGTTTGGGCTTGAACGTCGCACCACTTACCCGAGGTTTGGGTGGGCGACCAGGTAGTATCGCCATCAGCCCTCACACAAAAGATTTTTTTCCCATTAACATGAGATGGTGAGTAATGTTTTGAGTTTAGGCCGTCGAGCAATGTTAGCTGATTTGGGATTAGGCTGGAAGAGAGAGTCAGGGATAGTCAAACCAAAATTCGGCATCAGTCTATAAAGTCTTTGAAAGTTGTTCTATTATGGAGAAAATTTTCTGATAAAATCTCAGCGTAATACAGTAATATTTGCTGTCGACGTTTCAAGCACGGTTTATTGCTCATAATCATATCATCTTGATATGGTTGATATAGTTGTAATTCATTACCATTTGCTTGTTCGCTGAAATTATTATAACTTCTGGGTATTCCTACTGTTGTCAGTGTTGCGCTCTGAAAATGCCTGTCGGTAATCCTTCCTAATGTGTCTTATTCACGTTATGGAGACAGACTTAGGGCTTCGTTGACTGACTCAACTCATTCGGAAAGCTATACTTCTACATGGCCTATGTGGTGATTCCACCAAATTTAAGTATTTTTCGGCGGCAGTTGTGTTTTAGTATTTGAGGTTTACCTTCACATGCCTCTAATGACTGTAGCTAGTTAAACATAGAGCAGGCTACTCTGTCAGCCCCAGCCAGTTGATCGCTGACGAAATCTCAGCACGGATACGGTAGACTCGTTTAAAATTTGCAGTTTACTCCATCTCTGGCGTAGACGTGATATCCGACTGGCCGTCGACCAAATGGCGCGTATACTGCTTAGCAGTTTGCTCCATCCTCCTTCATGGTCGCGAGACATGGCCATTGAAAGTGGAGGATGCGAAAAGGCTAGGTGTCTTTGATCATAGATGTATACCTTTTTTCCCGTGTTAAGTGGTATATTAGTGTGAGCAATATTGAGGTTAGACTTCGGTTGAGTGTTAGTCACGTGAGGAAGAAAAATCAATCGACGAGCTTATAAAGCAGCTACATCAATTGAGATGGTTAGGGCATGCATTACGCACGCCCGCCCATCACCCCACCCTTCCAACGGGCAGTGTTAGCTGATGTAGAATCAGTTTGGAAAGGAGCTAGTGGTTGTTAAACGAAAAAATTGCTTCATCAGTCCATGAAATCTATAACAGTTAAGTTAAGCCATTCAGTCACATGGGGAGGTGTAGACTTCCAGGTTGGGGTCCTTGAGATGGTAAAAACCAATGGCCTCTGGAGGTAATTGGTGATGTGACTCAAAATCATTCTCAATGGCTGGCTCAGATGCATTTACTCTTTGTGATTTGTGATATTCAATAAAACTCTATGGTTTTTCCATATTACTACTCTTTTTCCCTCACGCTTCTGTTTGTTATCTGTCTTTTGAACTTGCCTTTACTCTCTTCTCTTGCTTTGTGTGCTACTTGGAGGGAGTGTGTCAACTCCAACTGGCGCACATCTGTACACACTGTTCTATGTTGAAACCATTCAGTCAGTCGCTCGGAGTATTCTAATTTTTGACCTGTTGATTTGATCATTAACTCACAATTCGAAAAAAAAATCGATAATTTTCATATGTTTTGGTGTTACCTATCAGAACTTTTTTCTGTTTTATTATTTCTCAGTTATTATTTTCTGTTGTTGAACTTTTCAATATACCTTCTGCTAGCCCATTTGAAGTGAATTGACTCGCGTACGTTTGCATGCAGATTTGCCTTCCTTACTCCCCTTTTTTATATTCCATGTTGATTTGTGCTGAGTGTGTGTGTGTTGTGTGTGTATTAGTAAATGAGGATTGATTGAAGAATATTAAGTTTAGTGATTTCTTGAAGTGAGTGAGAAATTTTTCTTGAATTATCCTGACAGGTGTATTTTTTATATAAAATTAAGCCTACCCCAAATATTTTTCCCAAGTTTGTTTACTAATTTTTAACCTATATACTTTGTGTATGCGATAGTGAACTCTTTAAAAAACATCATCTATCTGCAAAAATGTTGCCTATGAGACAGTGTAATATAGTAATAGTGCCTTGATTTTCTTCCTTTGTGATGTGTGTGTGTGTGTGTGGTAAAAAGTACATTTTTCAAGAATGGTATGCTTTTCTTAGATTTTATTTGAAGCTGAGATATTCCACCTTAGTTTATTCTATGAAATGATAAATTTTCAAACCTCTCTATACACATCTCCAAATTGTTTCTTCCTTATAACAACAATATTATAGTGTTACTTCATTCTACGAATACCTTTCAGTTCCTGTGGCTAACGTGACCGGTGTTGGTAGCAATGGTACATCTACGGTAACCCGATTGTCTGCTACTCAGATTGCTATGAAATTACTTCATGAAAAAGGGATATTTGGCCTTTATCGTGGAATGGGGGCTACATTTTTACGAGATGTATCGTTTTCTGTGATATATTTCCCATTGTTTGCAAATTTAAATGCTTTGGTAAGTAAGGCATTATTGTTAATTATAATTTTTGTCTGTTTTAATTTTGTTTTTTATTATTATCTAACGCTAACTACTATTATTATTATATCCTTTAATTCCTAGAGGAATATAGGGCTTCAGCCACGCGTCTCTATTGTCATCGGTTTTCTGCCAACTTTTTCACCCCGCTCCAAGTCTGCCCACATGCTTTCATTTCCTCTTCACATGACCTCCTCCAAGTCACCCCACCGTGGGAGGACCAACTCGCCGTTTCCCTTTCGGGTTCCACTCGAGCATTGGCTTGTCTAGTGATGTCACTTGATGGTTTCCTCAAAGTATGGCCAGCCAATCCATCTCCATTTCTTCCTGCCTATATGTTTCACAATCGGTTCCTGCTATGTTGGTTCGCTGATTGACAGAGATCCCTGTTGCTGATCTTTTCTGGCCGGCCATCTGATCTTGAGTATTGAGTGAAGAAAACTGTTAATGAAGGTCTGGAGTTTGTTTGAGATGCTCTTTATGACGCGCAGTGCAAGTCTCTGATCCGTATAGTGTAGCACTGACTTCACATTGGAGTTGAAGACCCGGATCTTATTTTTGATGGTGAGTGCTGTTGACCTCCACACAGACTTAAGAGTAATGAAAGCTTGTCTTGATTTTCTGATTCTGGCTTTGATATCCTCGTCATTTCCGTTCGCCTGTAGTGGAAACTATGCTCCCCAGGTAGGTAGGTGTGAAGGGGGTTGTTTCTTTCAGATTCCTCCTATTTATGCTGACTGTCGTCTGTTGTTGTTGCTGTTGCTGTTGGTGGCGTTGCCCAGGAATCTTCATCAGATATCTCTTTTTCGTCTATGTTCACCTGAAGTCCTATCTTCTTCTACCACCAACTTGTTGCTTTTCACTTGCATATCTTCCAGTTTGTGGGAAATCAGACATATATCATCGGCGAAGTCCATATCCTCCAAGTTTTTTGTGTCAGTCCATTTTAGTCCATCGAGTGTTAATCTACAAAGCCAGATTCATGACTGATGGTACAATTACTAATGAGATGAGATAAAAAAGGATTTTATCTCTGATTATATTAATTACACTTGAATGGATAATGAGGCTTAGTCAGCCATGATAATCAGTCATTATGATATGAGGAATCTTTTCTAGAAAATGAAAGCACAATACCAACTCTCAAAAAAGATGTGTTAGATAATTGGGCAGGCGAGAGGTCTATCCTGGATAAGTTTAACTAAGTACTGGGCTATCATTTCATATATTTGTGGAAAAATTCATTTACAACACACATTTTGATTAGCTACCCAATGAGTGTGTGAAATAGTAGATATATACGCACACAAAGATAGTGCGTCAGTGGCACAGCAGTAGAATGCTTGCCAACCATTCCACACGTGGTTCGGGCTTCAGTTCCCGGCCGACGCACTCCTTCACCTCGCTAAGCCACTGATAGGACTAGTAAAGGGGGCATGGGGCTAGCAACCCCATTCCGTGAAAATAAAACCACTGCTACTGAAATTTCGCGGCTCCAGCTTGAAGCCCTACGTTCCACTGGGAACGTGAAGGAATTAAAAAAAGATGGAATACCGAGAAACAAACGAAAAAAAAGCGAAAATTAATTAAATGTCATATTACAATCAATATGAAGGCAAATCATTAGTGCATATGAGTGCCAGTGCTATCGATTTCAAACTGTATTTCAGCAAATACTCACTAGTACATATAGTTGAAGCATCGATAGAACAAAGCACTGAGTAGTAAGCACTCTTATTCACAATATATATATATATATATATATATATATATATATATATATATATATATAAAGTTTAGAGTTCTATCGGCTGTACATTACGTTAGTCTTTGTTTGCCATTAATAAAGATCCGAATAAATCTGCTGAAGAAGCTGTGGCTTGCTCGGCGAAACGTTCAGAAAAATCTTGTTTTGATTTTCTTAACACGCTAGGATTAATTCAAATTATTTATAATGAATCAACCTTACTCGGCGCTCAACATTGTTTGCATAGTTGTAAGGCATTATTATTAGTATTTTTATTCCCTTAGGCTCCGAGTATTACGCAGGCCTTCAACAGCACATCTCCATTTCATCCTGTCCTCTGCCGTCTTCTATAACTGGCTCCACCACTGCCCATAGTCTCTCATCTCCTCCTAACACGATCTCTTCCGTGTCACTCGTGACCTTCGAACTCATCGTTTCCCATTCGTGTTCCACTCTACTGATGTCCTGGTTCACGATGTTACTCAACGTGCCCGATCCATCTCCATCTAATTCCACGTGTTTGTGGATTGACTGATTGGTTCATTACCAGAGTCTCTTGTTGCTAATTTTTTCCGACTGACCATTTGATCTTCAGTATGTAGGCAGTAAAGGCAGCGGTTGATAAAAGTCCGCAGTTTGTCACAAGTGGTTTTCATGACTCACAAAGTTTCTGACTCATACATTGGTGTTGAAAATCTGAAATTTTTTTGTGTATGCTGCGGAGTGAATCTGGTATCAAAACTGATTTCAGAGGGATGAGGGTCTGCCTTGCCTTTCCGATTCTGGTTTCGACATCATCCTTGCCTGTGGCTGAAGCTGAAACGACTCTGCTTAGATTAGTGAAGGAAGAAGGGACCTCTTTCAAATTCCTCCCATTGATAATGACTGGTGCTTGTTGTTGTTTTTGTTGGTTGGTTATTTTCACCACTTTCGTCCTCTGTGTGTTCACTTGAAGTCTTGGTTCGACCATTGCACATAAGCTCTCGTTATCTCCCCATAAGATCTTTTCCATATCATATTCACACGCTTAACTTTTCGTCTCCCATTTGGGCCTGGCATATGATGTTATTAAAACGGTCTCCATAGTGTATGTTCATTCTATACTTTTCGTTTTTGTTATGCGATAGGTTATTGAATGGTCCCTTGTTGCCAATACTTCCTGATACGCCACTAGCTCTTCAATATGCAGCCAGGGAAGGCAGCTGTTGATCAAAGTCTGCAGATAGCTGTTAGAAACGCTTTTCGTGATGAGTGTACGAAGTCTGTGACTTAAAATTACCGTTGAAATCTGAATCTTGTTCTCTGCACTGGTTGAGTGCAGCAGATTTCCAGACTGATTTCAGATTAGTAACGGTGTGTGCTGGATCTTTTAGATCCTGGCTGGTTTTGACAACCTCATCTGTGCTGTGCTGCTTGTAGTTGAAGTAATTCTGTCTAGATTAGTGAAAATAATAACCTCCGTTGATTTGTAGTGATTTTTCGTTTGTTATATGGTATGCAAAAAATAGTTTGATTACAGAAACACTGTTATTCTTTCTTTTGGTTTCATTATACGTTTTGTTGTATTCACACTACCTGAATAAATATTTATCTACTATTACACAGTAGCGATTATATACATATGTATACATATGTATATATGCATATATATATTATTTTTTTTAGGGTCCTCGAAGGTCTCCAAATAGTTGTGAAGCCGTATTCTACTGGTCATTCTTATCAGGATTTTTAGCTGGAACGATTGCAGCGTTCGCTGTGACTCCATTCGATGGTAAGTGGTGTTATATTATCTTTTAGAATTGCATAAAACTTCAATTTGTATGTTTATATACATATACACACGGAAGAAGCTATACTTTATGTTCATTTGAGCATGTTGACTTATATCGTTGAAAGTTTTACATATATTTCACATTACGTTGTTCATAGGAATATGTGTATGTTTTCCAATTTGATCACGTACTGATTTCAGTTAGAGAACCGCACCACATAGCTTTAAAGGTCTTGGGTTCGAACCTCGATGTGTGGGGCTTTGGGAGCGTACTGCTATGGAGTCCTAGATCAGGACGAAACAGCTATCCAGTACTCCTTAGTTTTTTAAATGTTTCTCTGATTGACCAACTGACTGACTGGTTTCAACATAGAAGGTACAAACAGAAGTGTGAGGGGAAAAGAATAGTAATATGGAAAAACAGAGTTTTACTGGATGTGATAAGTCACAAAGAGTGAATGCATCTGCACCAGCCATTGAGAATGATTTTGAACCATACCATCACCAACAGTCTCTCCCCATCCTTTTACACACATTGTGTGTAAACTATTGAAATATAATTATACTTTATTTGAAAAGTAACAAGTTGGCAGAAAAAAACATCAAAGATAGGACTTCAGATGAACGTAGAGGAAACAGAGGCGATGAGGATTCCTGGCCAACGGCAACGACAACAGGCATCACAAATGGGAGAAATCTGAAAGAAGCAACCTGCTTTACCTGCCCTACCTGGGAAGCATCGTTTCAACTACAGGCGGACGGAACTGATGAGGATATCAAAGCGAGTATCGGGAAAGCAAGGAAAGCCTTCACTACTCACAAGTTTGTGTGGAGATCAATAACACACCATGAAAACTGAGATCCATATTTTCAACTCCAATGTGAAGTCATTGCTACTCACTATACGGACCAGAGACTTGGCACCGCGCCGCGTCACGAAGGCCACTTCGAACAAACTACATACCTTCATCGCTCAATACTACTCAAGATCAGATGGCCGGCCAGAAAAGATCAGCAATAGGGATCTCTGGTCATGAACGAACCAACCCATCAGGAACTAATTGTGCAACAAATATGAAATGGAGGTGGATTGACCATACTCTGAGAAAACAAACCATCAAGTGATATTACACACCAGGCCATTACTCGAGTGGAATTCGAACGGGAAGCGGTGAGTTGGACGTCAGTGCGAGGGTGACATGGAGGAGGTCATGCGAAGAGGAGATGAAAGCATGTAGGTAGATGTGGAGCCAGGTGAAAACGTTGGTGGAGAACCAAACAAAATGGAGACATGAGGCTGAAGCCCTATGTTCCTCTAGGAACTAAGGGAAATAATAATAATAATAATAATAATAATAATAATAATAATAATAGCTCCCTTCCACTTGAATCTTATGTCAACTAAGATCACCCGTCGTGGAAGATGGAGTTTCGGCATGCGTCATACTTATCCTAGCTGTCGCAATCGATATGGTTTCACGACGTCATCGGCTGATTTCTCTTCATGAACGAGCATTCTGCACCTGTCCTGAATATTACTCACTATATTATACTATACTTGGGGTTTACGACGCAAACGTGTGATCAAAGACAGTTATTCTTCCCATATCTAACACTCAATAGTCAAGTCTCAGAGCCATAAATAAGAACCTAGCGAACTGTCGGGCAATACCACAATGGACATTCTTGATGAATACTAGTGACTGTCGTCACTTTAGATGACATAGCTGCGTAACTCAGAGTAGAGGGCCTTAGTCAGTGCGCGATGTACTTCCCCAACATTTCCTTCACAACCATATACTGCCACATCAACTCACTGTCAACAGTGTCGAATGTCGGCTATGGGTTAACGACTTCGGCAAGTTTTGAGTGCGGCGAAGTATGCCTCCGCTCCCAAATCTGTCCAGGCGACATTCTAGTAGGTCAATTGGTTAGCGTATCAGTCTCAAAATCTATAATGGGTAGTGCCTTTCTTTGTTTAGCGTGTGACATTTATCAGTCGCTTCACAAGCGTTTCCTATTCAACAAAGGGAAACTTCATTCAAACATTATACTATACTGTATGTACTATGTAAAACAAGTTCTACTTAATTTACTGGTAAATATAAATACGTAAATGAATTTCAAACATGGACATCTTTTTTATTTGTTTCCTCCTTCTTCTTATACAAACACCAGTGGTTAAAACACGACTTCAAACAATTAAACATGTGGAAGGAGAGAAAGCTTTCAAAGGCATTGCAGATTGTTTCGTGTAAGTGTTCTTCCATTTTTTTTGCCTGCTTTGCATTTTATACTAGTACATTCCTTTTCAATCATTATTTAGCAATCTGTATGATTGCAACACAGTATAAATGTTAAAACGACTTTGCACAAAATCTTCTCATGTAGAATATGATTGTCTAGTTTCATATTTCAATGAATATGTAACAACAGAAGACAAGGGCCTGGCAACAGATCGTTTTTATTACGGAAATCAACACCTATTTATAGATTTTCGTGTACATTATTATAGCTTATTCAAGCAAACAAACACAGTCTTCTGATTGGTTGTTTCTCACAGAAATTTGACCTTGCATCTCTTTGTGACTGTTTCTTGAATGTCAGGTCATCATCTATATGTTAACTGTATCTGCCTACGCAGTCTGCTGTGATTGGTTTTTGAATTAGTCTTGTTCATATTTTCTCACGGCCAATATTGGGGACATAAACATTGACGTAAATTAATGTCTACCAATCGGCTAGCAGCCTCCTCTCACCACAAATATATATATATATATATATATATATATTCGAGTTTTGGTTTGTAGGAATTCTATTCGGTTCAGGCGAGACCATGGATTAATATCAGTTAGAGAACCATTGAAAACCAGTTGAGAGTGCTGGACAACTGTTTCATCCTAGTTTGGGAATCATCGGCACACACGGCCAGGGTTCGAACCTAAGGACCTTCGGGTTACAAGGCAAGCTCGTATATCATTCAGTCACTGTTACCTGACTCAATGACCATCCCATGAATTCTGACTCCCTGGTTTTCCGTGGTACTCTAACCGATATCAGTCCGTGGTCTGACCTGAAACAAATAGGATCCCTACAAACCAATTCTTGAAATTAATCTGATGCTTGCAAGTGACTGGCTACAGGACGAAGTTGTTGGGATTTCTAATGAGATTTCGTGACCAGTGAGGTCCATCCGGTACATAGTGAGGATGGAGTTCCCGCCGATTATATTGATTCGTGCCAGTCGCGCTAAAATCACGAATTTTTTGAAGTTAGAATTCATTGGATAGCCATTGAATTGGGCCCAAGGAGCCGAATGGAATACGAGCTTGCCTTGTAACTGGAAGGTCCTGGGGTTCGAACCTCGGTGGGTATATACTACTGATGAGTCCCATACTGGGATGAAACAGCTGTCCAGTACTCCCTGGTGGTGGTCCCTGTAAAAAATACAAACAATACCGCTACTGCATTTTCAAATATGAAGTCCTATCTTCCTCTAGAAACACAAAGGAATTGAAATAAGCTATGCCTCTTAAGCTATTTCCTTATGTAAGAATCATAATCCTTCAAAGTAAAGGTGTCCAGGTTCATTATTATAGTTTACCTATAATGTACCTCACCTACTACTGTTTGTCACTTTAGGAAGGTTGATAGCTCACAATACATATGATTTATTTTGATTACAGCTTGATGCCACACCGTATTTTCGGTACGAGTATGAAATTTTCAGCATGTGATATCAGTAGCCCAAATTTTTCAGGCCGACCATAGATATCGGGTGTGCGTCGGCAGGGGATCGAACGCCGGACCATGTACATGGTCGGCGAGAGTCCTAACCACTGTGCCACTGACGCACACATGACATATTACCAACGCTTTAATCGGTGATTTTGATGTGATTGTTTTCTCTGAGCAGGATGGTTTAATCGCCAGTCTTTGATTGTCTTTCTAGACAGTATGTGTGTAGCACCGGGTTCAATATGAAGTGAACTTATTTGACCTCCTTCATGAATTATGATATAATTGTATCTGTATCTGACGTCCTCTGTTGTACATTCGATTATCAATTTGTATCAGTATTGGTCAGTTTTATTGACCATCATTCAGCTCAAAGAACACAATCACATTATAATCACCCACCTAAGCTACAAATCTTCTCTGTTATTTCATAATCTGTGATTATATGCAATTGTACACGGATTCAACTTATGGTATTGTATCTAACTGCAGAATAACTTTCTTCACGTCACTACTCATGGAAAAAAGCAAAGCTGCATATAATAAATATTTGGTAGTCTTTTTCTATCTTACTTTCAATGGCCACCGGTTTATCATTGTTATTATTACTTTTATTATATTGTTGTTCCCTTGGGTTCCGAGTGGAACATAGGGCTTTAACAGCACAACACTACTTTGTCTTGTTCTCTGCAGTCCTTTTCTCAGCTGGTCCCATGACCCCGTCTAAAAGCTTCCATCTACGCCATGTCGTCCTCAAACGCCTAGCTCGTTGTTTCCCAGTCGGGTTCGACTTGACGGCTTGCCTGGTGCGTGATGTCATTCGACAGTCTCCTTAGCGTGTACCAGATCCATCTTCATTCACTTCTACATATATATCGAGCAATAGCTTTTTGATTGGTTTGTTCAGAGGGTTTCTTGTCGCTAATATTTTCTGACCCACCATCTGATCTTCCGTATGAAGTCAGTCAAAGCGACTGTTGATAAAAGTCTGTATTAGCCTGTTGAAAATGCTTTCCGTGACTCACTGGTCAAGTTTTTGATTCTTATAGAAGAAATGATGGACTTGAAATTGGTGTTGAAAGTCCAGATTTCGCTGTCTGTGCCGATTATATGCCGTTGTCATATAGCTCTGGTTGAATAAGGTTGATAAAGATTCGGATCAATGTACTGCGTAGTGATGATATAGTATGTAAATTACTTTGTGATCAACGCTGTCGAAGGCCTATTTGAATTCGGCGAAGTTTACTTAGAGTTGGGTTGACTACCATTCTATGCTATGCTTGATGATGGTGTCTATGTTATGCAAAATAATATCATTCTGGAGAGACCACAAATACACTAGATGCGGAACTTGGCGTGGAACAAGTTGGATTCAGGAGAAGCAAATCATGTGTGGAGCAAATTACAACTGTACACGTCATCATCATCATCATCACCATCGGTGTTAGTTATATCACAACAGGCTGTTGCTCAGCACATATTCTCACCTTTATAGGTAACTAGATTTTTTTTCCTTCACGTTCCCAGTGGAAAATAGGACTTCAAGCTAGTGACTTGAAGTTTCTGTAGTAGTGTTTATTTTTACAGGATGAAGTTGCTAGCCTCATACTCAACCTTTCCTCTTTACCAGGATTATTTCCGGTTTAGCAAGGTAAAGGAGTGCGTCGGCTGGGGATCGAACCCGGGACCATGTGCATGATCGGCGAGCGTCCTAACCGCTCCACCACCGACGCACCCATAGGTAACCACATATCACACTCTAATGTGAGAGAAAACGTATAACAAGAAATATCAGCGCATAGATTCCGTTGCCTAAGCATATACATTACACCGCTGATGTTATATTTAATCAGCTGGTTAGTTTCTAAGGCTTGTAACTGACACTATATTTGAGTCTAAAATGCTGAACAGATATTTCCACCTTCAAACAGATGAAACTTCATATCTATTTATTCCAAAATCTCTAGGTTTTTGTATAGATGACATCATTATGTGTATCCTGTCGTCTACACCAGCGTAACTGACAAACAGAAAAAAAAGTTTATACACACACACACACACCTTGACATTTATAAACATTCTTATGCTGTGCGACAGTCAGTTAGTCAGTCTAGTTCATGATCGATAACTGGTTTCATTTTTAGATTCATTTGTGTTATTGTATAAAGCAAACATAAAGTACTACCTACATACAGTACGCTATTCAAACGCTGTATTTGTGGTCCCGTTCTCTCTCTCTCTCTCATATATATATATATATATATATATATATATAATTAAATGACCAAACCAAGGTCACATTTACCAGTTGGAAAAACTTTAGGCATATGGTACATGATATTATTCATTATTATAAAGGTTTTTGTATTTCCCAATGAATGAAAAACAAAACGATATTATTGTTTTCACTGACATTTTGGTATTTAATGGTGCTGCCAATAACTTTATCAAAGCAGTAATATTATTAAACCAGAACTTACAAAATCCACTCAGCTTATACATAACAATTTAATCATCCTTCATCAAAATGGGGTAATTTTTTGCTTTGTCAAGTTGACCAATTGGTAAAGATAAAAAAAACATGTGTAGGTTATTGGATTTTGATTAGCGTATAAAATTATAAAAGCAACATGTGTTTATATAATGGAATCACTCATCACAATTGTGTTGATCATATCGTCTTATAGGGGAGAGGGGAGTGTTGGAAACAGGTCAAAAATTCTATTTCTGTTCATCATTTCACTATTCCGTCAATTTAGATTCCATTTGATATGAAGCCCTTCTGATGATGTTAGACGTTCCTTGTGATTTCTGAGATTTTCTGCACTATTTCAATATTATCAAAACCAATTTTGTGACCTGATTCTATAGCGTCGCGTGTAGACGACCTCTGGCTGATGATTTTTCAAGCTTTCCTAGTTCAAATGAATTTCTCAGTGGTCGAACAGATTCTCTTTGGTGTTCATTTCTTCTGACTACCTTAATTTTTCTCTCTCGAGATTTGTCCGATGTATATCTCATCACATTCCAATCATCTTATTATGTAAACACAATTAGATAGAGAATCCTTGGGAATTTGATCTTTTACATGGACAAGGTTGCTTTGTAGTGTGTGAATCTGGTGTTTTGAAGAAAACTCTGATGCTGTACCTATTGAGTACTCTTCTGATATCGTCTGACGAATCTGATGGTGTATATGTATTGACAACTGTTGAGGCCTATATCTTCGGAATATATTTTCGATCATATTTAATGTCAGTGTTGACTATGTGGATACAGTTCATTGCGTAGTTATTTTGCTCGAGAGTCTCAGTAATGTTTGATATTTCTTCTTCCTTTTTCCTTCTCGTCCATTAACACCAAAGAGTGTGCCCAACTAAGAATACTTGAAACAACTGATACCTTTGATCTGATAGGATTTGATGATCTAAAGTCCCAATATTTGTGGGAATGGCTTTTTCTTCCTGAATATGTGTTAAGATGTGCGGTTTTCGTCATCTTAACTAGCCAGGCAGTCTAGAAATGGTAGTTCACCGAAGTCTGATTCTGCCTGCTTCCGAAGTAAATTGATTGCTGTAAGATAGATTTTTCAGTTTCTCCAAAAATGGATTGTGTAGATCTCGTTTTAGCACAACACAAGTGTTATCAACGTATTTCAGCCATATATTAGGCCTAAGTATACTTGAAAAGATGTCCTCTTCGAATCTATTCATGAAAAGATCATCGACTATTTGGGGGGAAATTGGTGAAGCTATGGCAACACCATTTGTCTGTCTACATAAATTCCATTTTAAGCTATCAATTATTTCAGTGGTGTTCAGGGGAAATCTGTGCTATAGTGTTGTATCTGATTCTAGTAAACTGGAAATGATATCAAGACATTCAGTAATGGGGATACTAGTATATAATGAGTTAATATCATAGCTTACCATAATACCTTCTTGATCGATTTCCCCGTGGTTTATTTTGGTTGATGATAATAATACTGGAATATTTTTAGTATTACAAAAAGGAATATGGCATCAAATTGCCTGGTGATTATATTTTAGTACACTAATGGATACAACTGGATCGACTCTTCAAACTGAACCGCTAAAATAGTGTTATCAAGCCGAATGTTGTTGAACTATAGGATCCCTCGTTTAGTTTTTGTTTTTTAAAACTTTTTAACTGTTACGTTGTACGGATTGGATTGGTTTCAAGTTCGATGGAGGATCAATATAATAATAATAATTTGCTTTATTCCAGAAAAAGTACTAGTAATACAGTGTGGAATTTTCAGCACATATCTACCATATTGCATCTAATTTTATCAAACATTTAAAAAAGTAGTATTTCAAAAAATAAATATAAAAAACAACAACAACAAGAACAAAAAAACGACAAAAACAAAAAATGCGAAAAAAATACCTAGAAGTCGAAAGGAAAATAAACAACATAATAAATAATATCTCACTATTGGGTAGTGGAAACTATGATAGGTTTATGCGTGATGAACAGTAAAACTATAATCATACAAGAAGTTATGAAATGATATTAAGAATGTTTATCGCCATGATGACTAGTTAATGTGATTGAACAACACTAAACAATCATAAAATAAACATTTCAGGTTGTTTTTGTTATTGTCAGCTCTAATGCGGTGTTTGTAGTGATAGTGTGAGTAATCCTGTATCATACAAAATTTTAAGATGGTGATAATGGCGTTCACAACCAAGATTGTCAGTTAATATTGACGAACGCAAAATACAGTCACAAAACTAATATTACATGATGGTTAATGACAGGACAATTTCGTAATACTCATAGTGATAATATAGTTGGAACCAGTAGATACACAAAAGAGGGAATAGAGTAAAGTACTAAAATAAAAGTAAGCCAATGTTAATAATTTAGGTAGCTAAGTATGTTTAAGAAGGTTGTTCACTATGGAATACAAATAAGAGACAAAAATAAAAGAACCAAAATTATGTTATTAACAAGAAAGCAAGTCATAGGTTTCGCGCTTAACATTGTCAGGTAGGGAATCCATAGTGTAGACACTAAAGACCACTAGAGAAAATTGTTTCGTCCTAGTTTAGGAGCCATTATCCCACTTGGCATCAAGGTTACAAGACGAGCGTGTTGTGCGCATTTAAGCCATTGGGAGGGACGGAATCCAAACGGCTGATGACATCTGACTTCTGTAGATTCGCTATATATATATATATATATATATATATATATATATATATGGTGACTACCAGCCAACTTTGTCAATCAGCGAATATTTGTAACGTATTTCTTTTTTTTCACTATGAGAGTGGAACTGCATCCCTTCCTTCCTTCTTCCAACACTCTTGTATGTTTTTACTCTCTATAAAAAAAGGCAGACGAAATTTGCAGTGTAAAATGATGCCATCATTCTATTTCACAGGTTCTCATCAGCTGCTACTGACTACCTAAAATTACAGTGATTATATATTATAGATGATAATAACATACTTTAATGTTTGAGTGGTAGTAGAGAAGAGATACTATAAAATTGACGACGAATCGAAAATGATGAAAGCATTACAATTTTTTTTAGTTGAAGTTTTCATCATCAATTTATACGCTTTTTTATAGTTGAAAAGAGGACGGGGGGGGAGGGTAAGACAGAAAACAGTAAAATTGATTAACAGAACAGTGTGTTATCTTGTAGCTTATTCACATAGCAACTCCAAAAAACAAAAACGGTTACAGTTAATGAGATTAAGATATGTCTGGTGGTTCCACTCTGAGAATATTTGCTTCTTTCAGGCACAGGTTTCTTGGAATATATGTTGAAGAAATCGCATAGAAGCCCTTCTTTCTGAACATATTCCAAGAAACCTATGCCTGAAAGGAAGCAAATATTCTCAGATTGGAATCACCAGACATATTGTTGATACCGGACATCTCGTAGAGATTTCTAAGTCCTTCAAAATATTGAATAGACAAAGGACAGCAAATTTATTACTATTTGCCGAAGCAATCACAATCAAACGATTTAAAGCAGACTTATGCATGCAGAAAGAGAGTGTGTGATTAACCTCTCACTGCCTTGGTAATTGAATTATGATTTTGATTATAATAATTAGTCATCTAATTCAGTGATCTCAATTCACTGAACAAATCTTAATCTCATTAACTGTAACCGCTTTTGTATTTTGGAGTTGCTATGTGAACAAGCTACAAGCTAACACACTGTTCTGTTAATCAATTTTCTCTGTTTTCTGTCTTACCTTTCTCCCCGTCCTCTTTTCAACTATAAAAAGCGTATAAATTGATGATGAAAACTTAAATGTCACTTTTATAGTATCTCTTCTGTACTACCACTCAAACATTGAAGTATGTTATTATCATCTGTATATAATCATTGTAATTTTAGGTAGTCAGTAGCAGCTGATGAGAACCTGTGAAATAGAATGATGGCATCATTTTACACTGTAAAATTTCGTCTTTCTTTCTACATCGAAATTTATCAAGGGAACCAAATTGTATGAAGAAATGTTTTTCTGTTTTTTTTCATATTTTCAGCCAAACACTGCGTAATGAAGGTGTACATGCATTGTTCAAAGGTGCTGGTTGTCGTGTTATGGTTATGGCTCCATTATTCGGAATAGCACAGACTGTTTACTATCTTGGTGTTGCTGAACGCCTTTTAGGTTATCCAAGATATTGAACAAGAAGGAAGAAAAAGCATGAGTATGGATAAATCTCGAAGAAAAAAAGTAGCTAGCTAATATTTTGTTTTGTTTTTTTATTTTCTCTAAGCGAACAATAAATTTCTTTATCGGGCAGAAAAAGAGGAATCAGATTCCAGTTGTGTTTACAATACAAAAAAAAGATGCGAAATAAGAGGAAAGGAAGCTCCACTTATACTGTGCAAATAAATCATGATACTGCATTGCTTCCTAGTCCTCCTCCTCCTCCGGTCTCTCGCTGCCCAGCCCAAGAAAACATTGATTAATTATCCTGTTCTTCTACTTATCATTGCTTTTCGTTAGAATTATGATCCAAAAGTATTAAGTATTATTTTTAGAGACCACTGCTGTGCTTTAATTGTCATTCCTCCTCCACCTCTTCACCTTCATCATCGTCATCATCATCATCATCGTTGATGACTCTAAGTCTACTCAACTGTCCCTATCTTCCTTTACATTCCTTAATAGAATTGTCTATAAGAAATATATATTGTGGGTTATCTGTGAAAACGATAACTTCTCTTCTTCTTCTTTCTTTACTCGTGTGTTTTTCATTCCTCATTTATTATACTTTTAAAAATCCTTTATTTCGCTCTGATTTCTAATGATCTTTAAGCGATTTCCATATATGTATATTATGGAGGCTTCATATATAATGCCTTAATGTATTATATAACTTGCCGAATCAACTTATATTCCTCATCATTATTGGTAATGTTGTAAATGGGGTTATCTCTTTCATTCCCGTATATAAATAGACTGTAATGGTGTATATGTTCTTTCCTGTTGGCGTATGAGATGACTCTCTTCACCAAAATAGCTTTTCTCTCTGCTTAAATGTTATCTTTTCTTATAAAGTAATTTATGCGGATAAATCTTCTTGTGTGTGTGTGTGTGTGTGAAGACAAGGGCTAGGCAACAGATCGCTTATTGAGAAAATCAAGTGGTATTTATAGATTTTTATGTACATTATTGTTAGGGGAGAAGCAATCTCCTCTGATTGGTTGTTGTTTTCTTGCTGAAGGTTATTCTATTGTCTCTTTGTGGCCGTTTTTTTCAGAAAACCAAACCCATATAAATGCGAATCATATTTCCACACGTTAAGTCTGCTGTGATTGGTTGGTGAGTTCCTTAAGGTTAAGCTATGTCGCTGTTTTTTCTCATGACCCTGATTTGGGAAGTGAACATTAACTAAAATTACTCAATTTTGGCTTGCAGCCAGCTCTCACCACAATCGTAGTTCATATATATCCATGTGTTCATTTGTTTATATGCGTTCGTGCGTTAGTTTGCATGTTTGCTCTTGTCTTCATTTTGAGGTTTCCAATGTTTCAACTATACACGATGTTCTTACTCTATATTATGTACAACTGCATACACAGTCATTTCAGTGTTTATTTGGAATAATCTACCAGCCATAGAGAGATATTCGTATATTATATTGAATCTTATTCTCTACATTGGCATAAACGACTGTCGTCTTGTTGTATGATCTCTTCTACATTGAATTTTGTTTGATTCCTTGTTTTTGGTATAGTCTTTTGTTTATTATTTATGATTTGAATAGAAAACACTGTTGTTGGATTATTATTATTTCTCTTTGTATGTGTACGTACGTATCATTGCTATTGCATTAGAAAAGACAAGAAACTCTTATTTCTTCAAACGTCTTGATGCTTTTTTCCATGTTTTTGGATCACATCCCAGTGGCTCAAAAATTGTGCAAGAGGTTACCATTTAACCTGGAAGTTCTGGATTCAATGCCTGGTTGGTGGGTACTGCTGATAAAAAGCCTGAATCAGGGTGGAATAGCTCTCCAGTACTCCCTGGTCTTTTAAAAGATTCTCTCACTGCAGTCAGTTCGTCACTTTGTTGACAAAGTTCGACAGCCTGGCGGACAATCAGCTGACGATGCAGCAGTTCCGTACCACAAATCTGGGACCGGATGGACATCCACTAGGGTTGGCAGTGAAGCTGATAGATCCAATACGTCACGCACTCGTAAGTTTGAACAAATAGTCAAAGTTGCACCTGTTGGCGTCCTAAATCATCGAGAGTGTCTCAGACCACATTTGTCACCAGCTAAAACTGGTTAACGCTGCACAACACATGGGAATTGGTGAGCTAGCAAAGGTGAACAGACAGCTGTTGACCAAAATGGTAGCCGCAATAACGCCACCGAAAATGAACGAGTGGCATACATAAAGTTGAAGATTTGTTGCGTGAAGAAGCCGCACTACGAAAGAGTGCAAAGAAATACTGATGCTTTGAATGTAGCAAAGCAAGACACTTAAGGAGACACTATCCTGGCAGAATATGTACTCGGATGTCCATAGTGCCAGTTGACAAAAGGAGATCGGTGAATACCACCGCTTCCACAGTCAATTCTAGTTACTTGAATCAAGTAGCTTGTGGTCCGTAGACGCGATAGGTCCCTTTTTGCCAATGTCCAGTGGCAATCAGTACCTTTTGGTGATGACGGAATACGCTACACAATGGGTAGATGCAGTCACGTCCCCTTATCAACTCTCGAGAACCATGAATGACGCAGTAGTTCGATACATCGTTGCAGACCACAGTGTACCAAAGACGATATTGACAGATTAGAGTCCTTGTTTTGAGAGTGAAGTTTCAACTTCCCGTTTGCAACGTATGGGGAATAGGAAGATCCGAACAACATCATATCATTCATAAATGAATGGTTTACCAGAGATAAATAACCGTTCACTAAAGGAGTGGGTGGCGTCGATGGGAGGTAACTGGGAGAATGGGAGCTTCCATTGATTCTACTAGCACATCATACGTCCACCCAGTAAACAACAAAGAAGTCACCATTTTAGTTGATGTATGGGAGGGGGGAACCACAAGTGCCAATACACAACCACAACCTGACCCCTCCATCAAGAGTGGAATATGACGAGGCTGTGAACGGAACGGAAAGAAACTGTCAGTAATGTGAAGCGTAAACAGAGGAAAGATGCCATGACATCAGAACAAGGAGAAAAGATGGGATACATAACCTTTAAGGTCGGCGATCAAGTAAAGTGTAGAGAAGAAAAGAAAGAAAGAAAGTGGGTAGATGTTGGTCAGGTTCACGGAAACTACTCCTGGAGTGGCAAGGGAGACGTGGTCCTGTTTATGTCATCAGAGGAGAAAATAAACAGAAACGGGTTGACATCAAGAAACTGCAGAAAAGGTTTCAGTGGGATAAAGAAGCCAGAGGCAAGGCACAACAGGAAGGGGTAGAACCAAGAAGGTCAGAGAGTCTCCATTCGGAACTATTTGATAGGGGGAATAGTGTGGCGTGTGCTACTACTGATAAAACTTATCAGTAGTGTGTAAAGAGATGTTCATTGACATAAAAACATCAAGTAGCACGGAGATATATTTGGTGTCAGAGAAATCAAATGTTACGTCATTGTGGAGATATATGGGAGACGTGAAAGGAAGACAAAGAAGCACAACATGAAGGCCATGAGTAGTAGGCAGAACATTGAAGATCTGTGTAAATGGTGCATTGCAGATAAGGTGTACATAATTTGGCTATGTTGAGATCCCAAATTGCATATAAACGTCTCTTTACCAAGTCTTTCGTCCTCTACCGTAACAATTTGACTTGAAATCAATCGAATCCCTAAAGGCCAACGCTTGCAATTTAATCCAGTGTCCAATATATCGGCCAACTAAACTTTGGAGTCTCAGTGAGACATCGTGACCAGTAGGCTCTACCAAGTCTGGTGCGAGGATGAATACACTCCAGAATCACTGGGTAGTCATAGGTGGTTGGTGGTATTTATCGCGAATTGGTGGAAGTTAGAATTGATGGGCCATTGGTTTCCATCTAGTGGCTAGATGAATGCTCAACAGGCTTACCTCATAACCTGATACTCGTGGGATTGATAGGTGTGAACTGATGAGAGGTCCTGGAATGATTCCCTGATTGAAGTCAGTTTGTTTTCAATGTTGAAATTCAGCAGAAATATCGTTGTAATTATCCAGTGCTGGTGGGTGAAGTAGTATCTGTTTTATATTTTGGTCGGTGTGTGAAATGAAGCATGAGTGAGTAGCAGTTGGAATTCTATCACACGATAATTCAAAGATAGTGTAGCATTGGACAGCTGTTTCTTTTTATAGTTTGAGATCAGTGTGAGTTTAGCACATTATAAGAGGCTGTCTGGTGAATTTATTGTCTTTCATCTACCAGGCGGAAGTCCAACGGCCCGCACTTCCTCATTTCCAGGACTCGGTCGTATAGCCTTTTGGTCATCCAACCTTATCAATGGGTAATTCCCCTGATGTATGTCAGTTATTATTACCTCCGGAAATGCATCCTACCGTCATTTAACAAGGCGCTGGAATTACTGTTAATGACGCAATGGTTGATTTGAAACAAGACTTTGTCAGAAACCCAAATGAGTCGTAGAGTGAATCATTGAATTTTGAATTAATAACTGTATAGTAGCATGCTTACCCACAGAACTGTAGGTCATCAATTTAAGCCACTCATATGTCACTAACTAAGTCGAAGAAGCTGTCCAATGCTGTTTGCTTTTCGATTGGTTATCAAGTCTACTGTGTGTCGGTTAGTATTTGGAAAATTTATAAATAAATAAGGAATTCTACCTGGCCGGCGGAGTAATACTCATTCTTACTATGTTCAAATTTGGTAGTTGTTTACTGGCAAGCCATCGAATGGAACCTTAATGAAAAGCATTCAAGGATGATATGGAGATGATCATATGAAGAGGGAATGTAAGCTTCTAGATAGCTGTGGAGTAAGTTGAGAGTGATGACAGTCAGGCGAGTGCAATGGAGATATTATCCTAATGCTCCATATTTTACATGGAACACAAAGAATCATAATAATGTAATTTCTAAATTTCACTACATATTGTTTTTCTGCCTGATGCCATAAAATATTCCATAGTATTACTCCCTTGGGTTCCCAGTGGAATATAAGGCTTCAACAATACACCCC